GTTACAAAGTGGGCATAAATAATGTTTTTTAGGGGCTTAGAGGGCTTCAAACCTCTAATTATCCCACCTCTATCTTATGAATACAGGCACACATACATACATGTGTACACACATACATACCCACCAGTATACACATGCACAAATACATGCATATATGCATAAACATTCATTCATAGATGCATAAATACATATAATCATATAGCAATATATTAATATTGTATTGCACATGGTATTCCATTTAGCAGAATGTCCTTGAAATGACTTTTTTATATAGTCACATATAGCTGCAGAAAAGAGTATAAAACATCCATAAACAGTTTAGCAGACTGTTATAAAGCCAACACTTATGACACTGCTACTAATCAAGTCCATCACGGGACCATTTCCAGCATCCCAGAAAGCTTCAGTGAACCTCATCTGATCTAAGCATGTCCAGCTTGACCCTTTTTCCACTGAGCTAGTGACTGTCCAGACACTGATTCATTGGCATGGTGAGGAGTCATTCATGTAGTGCTCACTTGCTGTGTGCGAGGCAGGACCCCTGCATATGTGATACTGAGAATAGGATTTGGGGAAAGGTGTTTGTAGGGATAAATGGGTGGCATTTATCCTGACATTGTGTGGTCTCTGACCACAAGAGATTAAAATCTAGTAGGATCAGCTGTAAAGATGCTACCATGCACATAAAGAGAATAACAGTCTCAGCCTGTTTAGGAAACACACTGTACACATGGCTGTGGGGTTTCTGTCATGAGAGAAGTAAAGCAAATTCATTTGGAGAAGTAATAGTTAAAAAAGTGCAGAGGGGCCTCCCTGATGGTGCAGGGGGTTAAGACGCAACCTATGAAGCTGTCTGCAGCCTCTACAGCACAAGTTTGATACTCAGCCAGGGAGCAGTGCAGTAGACCTTTCCTGACTCGCCCGCTGCTCCCTTCAGCAGTGTATTTCGGTCGATTTGCCTTTTTTGTTCCCAGCTCTGTCTCTGGTGAATTCTCTCACCCCCCCACACCTCTGGCCTGTACCCCAGTTCTTGTATGCATGAATAAATAAATCTTTAAAAAAAAAAAAACTTGGAGGGGCGGATAACTGACTAAATGATAGGAGTTGAAGGGTAAACCCCTTATTTCAAAAACTGTTTATGGGACATGAGAGCACAGTCTTGTCAGAGATTGAGCACCCTAATGAGAACATTCCACAACAATTTGAGAAGCCCAAGGATGGTAAATCATAGGGAATGGGTGGCATTTATCCTGAGGTTGTAAGAGAAATAAAGTGTGAAAGAGGAGAGATTCTGACAGGGAAGTACAATAGATCCTAAGACTGTTCCGCTTCTAAAGATTGGGAGCCTCTAATGCTGTGCCTGCCTTTTAAAAAACTGCCCAGGGTAAGTCAAGGAGCAGGGGAAGGTAAACCTAATCTCCCTTCAGAGGCGCTGTCTGAAAGCCTGCTGTGTGCAGAATGGCCATGATTCAGTTCTATTGTAGCATCTTTCATTCAGGAAGCTCAAAGGACTTTACCAGCAGAATTGCTCACAGCTCCTCTCTGAGACAGCTGTGTGCAGGCAGTGGCTCTCCTGACAAACACAAAAGCCATTCACTGCACATACCAGCGGCTACCTAGTGGCTCCCCAGTGATATGGGCAAACTATGGGTAGGGAATCTCTAGTTTTAAGCAAAATTGCTCTAGGAAACAAGGGTATTAAGTTTTCTTTTATTGTATTGTTTTATTGAAGTAGCATTAGATGACAACACTGTGTATGATTTAGGGGTAAAGATTCACACCTCTTCGGATGTCCGTTACCACACCACACCGACCACCAACCACAAGCCTCCACCATACTCCGTGGGTTTCCCTCCTTCCCTTTACTCCTCACCCTTTCCCTTCCTGCTCTGGTATCCTCAGTTCTACAGTCAGATTTCTAGGGTTTGTTTTAGTTTAATTTTGTCTTTCTTTTCCTTCTTTATATTACACATATGAGTAAAATCATCCAGTATTTGTCTTTCTTCTTCTGACTTACTTTACTTAGCATAATCCCCTCCTTTTCCATCTGTATTATTATAAATAGCAAAAATTCATCTGTTTTTTAATAACTTAGTAGTATTCCATTGTGTGTCCATGCATGTGTGTGTGTGTGTGTACTACATCTCCTTAATCCACTCATCTGTCACCATGCGCTTATTTTATTTATTTATGCATACAAGAGCTGGGGTGTAGTCCAGATGTGGGGGGGTGAGCAGATTCACCAGAGACAGTGGGGAGCAGAACAAGCAGATCTACTGAAATACACTGCTGAGGGGAGCAGCACACAAGACACTGCCCATGTGAGTTAGCTCACTGTCCGGGAATCGAACTCCTGCTGCAATGGCTGCCAATCACTTCATAGTGCTGAGACTTAACCCCTTGAGCCACCAGGGAGGCCCAGAAACTTATTTTTAAAGCAGGTTGCCATGAGAATAGTTTCTGACAGCACAGGAGCCCATTCCTGGATTTCTGCCATCTGTTAGGGCATCAGCTATAAAGTCTGAAAAGTAAGCAGGTGTCTGACACAGCATATAATAATTGGCATTTATCCATCACTTACTATATACCAGGATCTTTTCTAATGTCTTCTGTATGTTATTTTAATGCTCACAATAATCCCATGAGGTAAGCACTGTGAATCCCCATTTTATAGGTAGAGCAACTAAAAACAGATGGAGCAGATGGAAAAACTTGCCCAAAATCACAAGTGGGGGAATCTAACCCACAAACCCAACCTTGGAGCTCATAATCTTACCACTACCCATATTCCCTCTTGAACAAAGGATAAAGTCCAGGTTTTCTTCCTGCCTAGCCCACTTTGTCACCACATTCCAGATGAACTTGTTGAGCCTCAGCTAATTGTAAGGCCCTGACCTGAAATACTGTGATTATCTGTTGTGAATTGAAGTGGAAAGTCCCAATGATGAAGGAAGGTTGGAAACTTGACACCTTTCTTTCTACCTGCACTGTTGAAAACAAACAAAACATTTATCCAATAAGAGGTTCAACTTGGAGGTCAATATGAAATGTTCACTCTCATATCAAACTAGGGAGCAAACAGGTCCAAATCAGCACATTGTCCTGTCTGTCACCTGCCACTTCCTGGCTCTTGCCTCAGAATGGGCTATCATTTCTCACCACTCACTAGATGTCATTTCTCTCCGCTCACCCAGTGCTGAGTTAAGGTAAAGTGTAGAGGCTGGCCCTCCCACTGTTCCAGCATGTTGGGAGTGGAGTTTTGAAAATGTTCTTCTCATACCAGCTCTCAGAGAGGTTGGGTGCTCCCCTTTCAGAGCAGCTGGCTTTTATCTGTTCCAAATCATGGGATCTGAGGGCGAGGGGGCCAATTGGAAAGTGGAGAATGGTAACTATGCTTTTGTGTGGTTGTGATGTGATAAATATACTTGTTGAGGTGTCAGGCTATACATCTGAAACATAATTTTACCGCAAAATAAATTAATTAAATTTAAATTAAAAAATTAAAAATAATATTAAATAAATAAATTTGGGGTTCGGCTGTACACATTAATTGGTAGAAAGGATTCCTATGCTAAGAAGTGTGTTAATTTAGGAGAATAATTCTTAGGGTACTTATTTTTTCAGAAAACGGAAGTTTCACTTTTTATTAATTTAAGAAATATTTTAGGGGAAAACCAACTATGGTCCAGGCACTAATCTAAGGGTCGGGGGAAAACAATGAACAAAACGGAATCAGCCTGCTTTGAGAGCTTTTCAGAAGAAAATAATTGAGATACCCCAGTGGCATTTATGGGGAAAAAATTTTTATTTACGGGCCTCCCCTGGTGGCCCAGGTGGTTGAGTGCCGCGCTATGAAGCTGTCTGCAGCCTCTGCAGTGCTGGTTCCATCCAGCCAGCCAGCAAGGGTCCCACATGGTGCAGCAGACCTTTCCTGTCTCACCCGCTGCTCCCCTCAGCAGTGTATTTCGTCAGTCTGACTGTTCTGTTCCCCACTCTGTCTCTGGTGAATCCTCTCACCCTCCTGCGAATCTGGCCTGTGCCCCGGTTCTTATATAAATAAATAAATAAATAAATAAATAAATCTATCTTTTAAAAAACCAAAAAGATTTAATTTTTTTTATTTACAAATTTCTTCAACATAAGTAATTAATGTCACAATCACAACCTCTATACAATAACTGTTGTGTGTCTGAGATTGTGCCCGGCAATCTGTGTTGTCATTCAGTCCTCATAACAGTCCAACTTGAGACAAGTGTTCTCAGGCCCTCATCCCAGTGGGTAACTGAGGCTTGGTGGGCTCTAATCAAATGGCTAGTGGAAACAGTCTTTCTCCTCCTGCTGATGCCCTCAGGACTTAGTAAGCTCACGGGTGATGGCTGAGGTTAGAACCACGTCCACACCTCCCAGAAGTCTAGACCAAGGTTTACAACCATCATTTGTCATGGTGGATGTCATAGGCACCCTCAAAATCTCAGAGCTTATACATGACTTAGTGGAGTCAAACTTCCTCAAACTTCCAGTCCAAGAAATAATTTGCCTGTGATTCACAGGATTCCACAGAGGAGTCTCAGATATCTGTCAGTGTTTCAGGTCTGTAAATGATCAAGGAATAAGTTGATAATATATACCATAAAATGCAAATAATTGTAACTCCTTCCCAGTCTTGGGGGAACCCAGTAGTCTACGCTAAAGGGATATGGATGCTGTGGGACAGGTGGGATGTGGGTGCACATCTGAGGAGATGTGACCCTGTTTCTCCAAATCACATACCGTGCTGTAAACCAGTGTTACTGCAGATAAATAAGTTTAGGGAGAAAAAGAAGGCAAGGCTCTCTGGGCACCCTTTAAAGACTAAATCAATAATCAATCAATACTTCCAGTCTTAGTAGCAAACTAGGAAGTGTGGGAGGTATTTAATGCAGCACAGATGTGGCTGATCTCCATGTAATGTGCCCAACTAATTGCTTTTGTGAATTGTTTTCTTTTCATTTCCTTTGCAGATGATCATTCCCGGGTAAGGCTGCAGACCTTAGAAGGAGACACCAACTCAGACTATATCAATGGAAATTATATTGATGTATGTATTTTGAAACTGCCGGTAAACCCAAACTGTTCTGACCCATACCGTATTGTGTGTTTGTTATAAGATGGGTGGATCTCGTTGGCGCAGCTCCACAATCAAACACATTTGCATTGCTCCTGTGCACCATAGAACTTTACAGTGAAGATAGGATACTCCTTTTCTCGACAGCCTATTAGTTGATGAATTCCTCTGTAGCATTCTATACCTTCTCTGTTGCCCCATGCTTATATGGACTTAGAGAACACACTTCCTTTTTTTTTTTTGTCAACAATTTGCATTACTTGACAGAAAAAAAATCTGTTTGCATATTAATAGGACAAAACTCTCTAATTCCTAATTCGATGATTTGCAATCTCTTGTCATCACTGCACTTTTAAGTTGCCTTCAAAGCAGTCTGCAGCTGTTAACCAGGACTTTTAGTGCATGCAAGACATGGCATTAAATATGCAGGCTGTTTAATTATTGAATACTGCTTCTTTGTTCATTCTGCATCATGTTAACTTAATGTCTTACATTAGAATAAATTCTTTAGGAGACAGCATGTTTTCAGCTGAAAGAATGAAATCAAAAGTAGATTGAAAATCAAGGGAAAGTTGCCATTACTTCTAAGCCCCAAGTTTATATTGAACAGATTTTAGCTCCCCGTAGCCCCAAGGTATCCTCTGGGCTTGGCCATCCGTGTTTCTTGGCTTATCAATACTTCCATAGACAAGTTTCATCCACATATATGGATTCTTTCTTTTCTTGGCTGAGTGTTACTCTGATGCTACTATGGTGCTAGCATTGTGATCTCTAAGCATAATCTAAAAATAACTATTATTTTTAGTGCTAATTGGGAGGATTTGACGGTTTTGGTTATAGGTTGGGAGGTAGGGCCTGCGGAATAATTATTTGAAAAATAAACCATATTTCATTCTTCTAATGAAGAGATCTGTGTCATTTAGATAATGCCCATAAACATAGTCAACCCAAGTTAGATTTTTTTTTATTATTATTAAAGCAAAATTTCTTTCTAAAGTGCTTTGCACTTACTCCTTTATTCTGCAAATGTTTAGTGAATAACTTATGGGATACTTAGAGATATCCAAGGCTTGTTACCTTCTTCCAAGTTCCTCACAATTTAGAAACTGAGGTAAGACATATTTTTTCCTTAACTCCTCTTCCCTTGGGAAGTTCCAGTCCAAGCCCTTTCATGTGCCTATCCAAGGTTCTCCCTCTTTTACTGGGCCATTGAGCACAGAGACAGTGTCCAACTCATTTTCAAATTCCCTGCACCTTTCATAGTCCTGAAATATTATAAGCAATTTTTAAGTGGTTAATGAATCTCTGAGTGAAAGAGTCAATGTGATCAGATTAGACATCAGATCAGGCATCAAAGTAAATGTGATCAGACATAGGAAGTTGGAGATTTGCACTAAGCTTTAAAGAATAGATAAAGATACAGTTCCAGAGATTTATCTGAAGAATACACAGAGATACTTTTATAGAGATACTATAATGAAAATATCAGATTGATTAGTTTTAATTTTAGCAGAGAAAGTCAATAGGGTAGGGCCCCTTTATTCACTTAGTTAATACAATTTTTGAACACCTAATTGTCAGTTACTGTCCTGGGTACTAGAATTTATAACTGTAAACAGTTCAGATCATAAAGAAACCCCCCAAACTCTCTGCTCTAATGGAGCTAATGCTCTAACTAGGAGAAATAGACAACACTTTAGTTAATTCCATATGGTGTATCCGATGGACTTCTGTACTATAGAATAAAGGGGGAAGAGGAGTGCCAGGTTTGAAGATGGATTGAAATTTTGAATACTTTGGCTAGAGTCAGTTCCTTTGTGAAGGTGACATTTGAGCAAAGAAGACAGCCAACTGCGCTATGTAGAAATCTGGGGGACGTGCATTCCAGGCTTACAGATAGCATGTGAAAAGTTCTTGTTGTGGAGCATGTCTGGAGAATTTGAAGAAAAATAGGCAGGTGAGTATTGAGTATTGGTGAGGCTTTATAAAGAGAGGGAGTCATAGGTGATTTGAGATGAGTAATGTCATGGGGCAAGGTAACATAAATAGTCATAATGATTTTGGCTTTGACAGCGAGATGGAGAATCACTAGAGGGTCTTCAGCAGAAGAGTGACATGATCTGGTATCAGAAGGGAACAGTTGTAGGTGGTTAACAGTAGAAGCAAGGAGACCTGCTAAATGGCTGTGGAAGCAATCAGAGAGACATTATATCTTGGCCCATGTAGAAACACTGCAGGGTGAGAAATGTTAGACTGCAGGGTCTGCACTTAAAATAGAACCAGTGGGTTTGCTGACACATTGGCTGTGGAGTGGAGGAGGAAAGGAGGGGTCAAGAATGCCTTCAAGAGATGGAGTTGCCATTATCTGATGAGAAGGCTGTGGGTGGAATAGATTGGGAAGGAGGTAGAGAGGACACAAGGAGTTCCTTTTTAGATGTGTCAAACTTTCGATATATATTAGACACCCAAGTGAAGGTATTGAGTAGGCGGTTGATACCACACCGAGATTTCAAGGAAAAGACCAGGCTAAAAGTAAGAATGTAGAGCCCAGCCCATCATATACAGATGGTTTAAAGGCCATGAAATTGGATGAAACTGGGTGGAATGAGTGTAGACAGAGGAAAGAATATAAGAACTTGGCATTCCAATATCAACATTAAGGTGAAGGGTAAGAAACAACACAGAAATGAGGAGTAGCCAGGAAGGTAGAAAAGATTCAGGTGTGCCTTATCCTGCAATCCAATGAAGAAAGTATTTCGGCAGTACTAATTGTGTTCAAGCTACTGACAGATCAAGCAGATGAGGCTGAGAAATGACCACTGTGCTCAGCAGCACACTTAGGTCATGTGTGGACTATTTATCAAATGTGCCCCTGCTATTTCCAGTACCTTGCTAGAACTGACATAGTGAATTAGTCAGACCAGGGTCTTGCCCTTGTGGAGTTTCTCAGCCAGAAAAAAAGTGTGATTATCTAATTCTATTTAATATCTGACATGATTCCATAATTTGAGACTGACAGCATGTCAGTTGTATAAAAGAATGTGCTGCTTTTGTTCATTATCATTGACTTGTGTTTAAGAGCAAAAAAAAAAAAAAACTGACTTGCATGTATTTCTTGTTTTAGAGATCTCTAGTTCCTCTCCAAGTTTCTTTATTCTGTTTTCCAGCTGACTTTGGACACAGTGTTTTGGGTCATCTCAGGGGATAGAAATAGAAATTACTGAGACCCACTGTGATATTATATCTCACCCATGTGTAATTTTCTATAAGTTTCCTTTATCTTTCTGAGATATCGATGTGCTTTGCTCCCTTCCTTCTTTGGTCTCCATTTTCATCTCTCCCCCTTCTTGTAAGGTGATGTAAAAAGAAGAGGTCTTGCAAAATTTCTACCATTTTAAATTCCTGACCCTGGCCCCACAGCATCATGTGATGGTACTAGCAGTGTTTAAGAATAATGTTTAGTATTACTGTAGATATACCTGCCTATCTGATATAATGGAATATGTGTCTTAAGCCTTGGCACGTTGCTAATAGCATCCCAAACACAATGAAATTCTACTCCACATTCCCAACCTGTTTACACTGTAATAGGAGTCATGGCCATGTGATTTGAGAGAATCCCTAAGTGGTTTGTGTGGATTGCTCATTCATCATCTCATCCCCACCGTGTGAGTAATTTACACACCCCCTTGTGCAAGCATCATCTTTCTTGCATCTTTGCTTATTAAGAGGAACTCAGTGGTCCTGGATCTTTTAATTTCACTTCCAAGCAATGTAGCTGTCGGTATTTATATTTGCATTCATTTCGGCAAACCTCTCATATGACTTCGGTGCTGCTTATTGATTTTAAGTTTGTCAAATACTCTTTCTCATTTCCTTTTAGGGTTATCATCGACCGAATCATTATATTGCGACACAAGGTAAGTTTATTTCAGTTTTGATGTCTTTCTTTGGTTCTTTGCCCAGTCTCTATCATTTGTACCTACTTCATCCTTCCTTAGAACAATACCCACTCTGCCCAGCAATATTTATTGCAGTTCTAGCCATTAACACATGTTCCCGAGTCTTCCCATCAGATGTTCTGTTCGTGTCATTTAGTTAGAACTTTATGTTGAAATCGTTAGAATAAATGTGTTCTTCAATTTGTTATGAATTAAATTTGTCTATCTTAAGAATTAATCTGACATTTATTTATATATATATATATATATATATATTCATTAAATAACTAGGTCTTGCATACTCTGTACACAGAGACCTGTGCTGGCTGCTAGGGATCCAGCAAGCACCACCTCTCACATCAGTTGTGGTTTAGTGGGGAGCTGGGTGGTGACCTGTACATTGACAGTGATAATTAAAAACCTGTATAAGAGGTACAGAAAAAAATGTTAGGAAAACTTAGAGAACAGAGAGGTTGCTTTCAAACAGCATGATCCAAAAGCAGCTTTGTGGAAGAAGTGAGATCGGGAAGGGAACTTCTCAATGGCAGAGACATCCTGAACAAAGATCTGGAAGGAAACAGGAGATTGTATTGGCTAGAGAAAACAAAAAGAAAGCTAGGGAACTCGCTGATGTGGTGGATGGTATGGCTCTCATACCGTCTTTCCTCTGACGATGAGGAGTCACCTGTAGAAAGTAAGGTTCGTGAGGGATGAGGTTTGGGGCATGAGGTATCATCCTTAGGGTCAAGCTGGAGAATCAATATAAGTGCTGTGGGAGTGCTGAGAAGTAGAAAAGTCTAGGGTATTCGAGTGTACATTTTTTTTTCACTTTATTATTTCATTATTGTTTCTAGTAATGAATTCTATCCCAGAAACAGGATCTGGGAAAACAAAAGGATGTGACCTGCTAGTAATTAGAGATTAGCAGGGGGGTGCCCAACTGAAGGTGAAGGAGCAAGGGAACCAAGATGCCAAGAAAATCGCCGCTGGAAAGGCAAGGGTTGCAGGCAGGGTCACAGGTGTTCAGTGGACCCCATGGAGAGAGAGGGGCTAACGGATTGAGGTCAGATTCAATTAGTGAGTCATTGGCTGGGAGAAAAAGCAGTTGTAGCCAGAGAGAAGAATTTCCAACACATGGAGCAGTATTATCCAACTTGGAGTATTATCCACATGGAGCAGTATTATAGAACTTTCTACAATGGTAGAAATATTTTGTGTGCTATCCAAAATGGTAGTCACTGGTCATCTGTGGCTACTGGGACTCAAAATGTATTGGAGGATGAAGAATGAATTTTAATTTCAATTTTATTTTTTTCCAACTTTATTGATTTTCCAATTGTTTACACAATGATATAATTCTGGGATTACACTTTCATATGTGCACATGCTTCACTCACCCTCCACCAAAGTCCCTGTGCCAATATCTAATCACCTTCCTTCCCTTGCCCCTTCCTGCTCCTTTCCTTTTTCCTCGTAATGAGGAAAATATTCCATTGATTATCTATTCCACAATTTCTTTATTCAGTCATCTATCTATATGCATTTAGGTTAGCCCCATGACTTGGCAATTGTGAAGAAACGCTGCTTTGAACATTGGATTGCACAAACCTTTTCATATGTGTCTTCATATGAATTTAAATTTGAATAATGAATTTTCAAACCAGAGCTGTGGCTTTTTCTGGGTTATCTTCCTGTCTCCCCTCCACTTAATTCTTTCCGCTGGCAGTTAATACATTGATGATCCAGTGCTCACTTCATCACATCTGCCTGAGCAGCCATTAATACACTTGTAATATGCATGCGTTGTGATTTGCCACACCAGGGGGCAAAGGAGAGGAAGCCATGTCCTTACTGCATGTTTGTACTCAAAGCCAGGGCAGAGTTAGGATTTCTAAAGCGGGATTCGCAGTAAGGGGCCAATGAGTATGCAGGTGGGTAGGTGGCCCAGAACTGACTATATATCACAATTAAAAGATACCCCGCAGAGACCGCTTGAGCCATGAGCTGGAGGAAGCCACACACATTTAGAACTGCTCCTCCAAAATGATTTGGGAGAACACCTGCCAGCCACATGATACACAAACGAGGGGACCCTGGAGAGGTGTTCTTTTTATTATTGTTTTGTTTTATTTTTAAAACTAACTTCAAAAGTCCTGCTTTAGTGAACTTAGGAAAAACAATAGGAGGCCATTATGGAAGAAAATGCCTTTCGTCTGTGATGGACGCAGCTTACCCAGCACCCAGTCCCTCTTCCTCATTGCTGAGTTCATCTGTGGGTTAAAGAAGCACAGAATTAGCAAGGACCCTGTAATTCCTTCCGGAGGAGCAGGCCGAGCATTGTGAAATCTGTGGGGCTCTCACAGCTGCTGGTGGAGCTTTAGCACCTGGCTGGGATTTCCTAGGAGCCAGCGAAAGGGTGGAGAATTTGTGGGGGAGACAGGTCTCCAGCCAGCCTTGGAGGAAGGGTCCCTCGTCAGAGGATCAGCCAAACAGAAGTCCTGCCTAGGTTGGGGAGGAACACGACCCCCCAGCAAAAGGGACCCGAATGGGGTGACAAGGGTCTTCACCCCTGTGGCACCTGGGTCTTCTTGATCGCCTGCAGGAAGGGCTCATCTCTCAGGAAAAATTCAGTCATACACATATTTTACATAGACATTCAGGCATTCATTGACTTACCAAATCCAGCCTGAAAAATCTATAGATCCCAGATAAAAAGCCTCTGAGTTAGGGAAGCTAAGAACAAAAAACTGAAGGTAAAATGAGGACTCTTGTTAAAAAGCTTTGAATAACAGTCATTTAATGGAAGGCAGAAAGGCAGGGAGGGAGAAAGGGAAGATATTTCTAAGCCACATAGTGGTAAAAAACATGGTTTAAGATGCTTAATTGGTGTGGAATTATCCTGGATAGAAACCTGGAAAAAAAGATAACAGTTAGAAAATAAGCACAAAATATCCTGAATAGAAACAAATAATTCAAACAATAAAGGCTGTGAGGAAGTGATAGTTTTCATCTTATTTAATAATTGAAGTTGCTTATATGAAGTTGCTAAAATACGTATTCTAATATTAAGTATATTATACTGTCACAAACTTGCTTTTTAAATATGTTTCCTCTTCATCTAATAAAATGTAATAAATACATTTGCTTTATGTAGTAGTAATATGGGCTGATAGACTACTGTTCTTTTCAAAAAGTCAGCATTTTTACTTGGCCATTTATCCAATAAATATTAAGTGCCTACTAGGTACCAGGCTTTGTGCTAAAACTAATATAATGCACTTTCTAGCCTCTGACCACTTTAGATATCATTTATCTCATTTATTTTTTGTATTAAACATATGTACTTTCTTGCATCGTTATTAAGTCTTGGACAGTATTTTAATTCTCCCCTCACAGGTAGTCCCCGTAGTCCGCCCACCCCCATAGCACTGTGTTCACCACAGTCCCCTGCACTCTTCCTCCCCTGTTTCGATCCCTTTTCCTCCCCTTCCCTGCCATATGCCTCAGATCTGTGGCTGCTTGCTTGTTTTGTTTTTCCCTGACCCTTTGTTCAGTATCTCTATATTCCACCTGTACGTGAAACCATCCGATATTTATCTTTCTCCTTCTGACTTGCTTCACTTAGCATAATTCCTTCTAGTTCCATCCATGTTGCCACAAATTGCATGAGTTTATCTTTTTTGGTCACTGAGTAGTAGTCCATTGTGTATATAATACCATGTCTTCTTGATCCGCTTATCTGTTCTGGGGCATTTAGGTTGTTTCCATATTTTGGCTATTGTACATAGTGCTGCAATAAACATAGAAGTGCCTGTTTCTTTTCGAATTAGTTGTTTTTTTGCCCTTTGGGCAGATTCCTACACTGCTGATGGGAATGTAAATTGTTCTGACCATTTCTTAATTAGAAGAAATTTCTTTTTTTTTAAAGAGAAGACTTGAGACCCATGGGAACAAGCAAAAGTTGAAAACTGAACTAATGCGTAGCAGCAGCTTAGCTGCAACATCAGGATAGGCGTGCTGTGTGCTTTCCCCCTTAGGTGTTTAAGCCCTTGAGAAGAGGCTCTGTGTGACTTTAGAGAGTGCTCTCCTCAAAAATCATGCAACTATTACAAAATGAATCTAGGATCTAATCCCTTCCTTGTAAGTTACAATCCTCCTCCAAAAAAGCATATTTTCTGTGACACAATCATATTTGAAAATCCCTTTTGATTAAAATTGTCTTGGGTGTCTTGATATATGAAACTGTGCAGCAGAGTTACCCTGTACCTATTCCCATCTGGGCACCTGTTTGGAGATCCCCTTGTTCAAGGCTCCACAAGGCTGCTGGGTAGAGTTAATGCTGATCTTAACGAACAGAGACTGCCCATGGCAAGATAAAAACTCCAGGGGGCCTCCCCAGTGGTGCAGGAGGTTGAGCGCAGTGTTGTGAGGCTGTCCACAGCCTCTGCAGTGCAGGTTCAATTCCTGGCCGGCCAAGGAGATACCCACATGGTGCGGCAGACCTCTCCTGTCTCACCTGCTGCTCCCCTCAGCAGTGTGTTTCAGTCCATCTGCCCGTTATGCTCCCCTCTCTGTCTCTGGTGAATCCTCTCACCCTCCTGCCCCTCTGGCTTGTACCCCAGCTCTTGTATAAAAATAAATAAATCTTAAAAAAAAAAAAAAAACCTCCTGGTAGCCACTCCTATCAAATTAGCACAACACAGTAAAAAGGAAATAAAGTGCTTTTCAAGGTACCTACACTTAAGAGGAATTAAATGTGTAGATTTTAACAATCTAGAATTAAAGCACAACACTTTTTATGCCCAGAACCCAATTTCTCAGTGTTACATTTCAGGATACCAAGGCATGCTAGCACAGACCACAGGAATTGATAAAGAAAATCAGAAACCAGATAGTTATTACAGTGAGAACCATCAATGTCCGTCGGACAGAATCACCCTCCACCCAGTAAGGGCATCCTGCCCTGTAGACCAGTTATA